TTTAGAGCTTTTAGGAATTGCCATACTGTTTTCCACAGAGGTTGCACTAGTTTACACTCCACCAACAGTGTAGAAGTGTTCCCTTTTTGCCACACTCTCTCCAGCAACTGTTATTTCTTGAGTTATTGGTAATTGCCATTCTGACTGGAGTTAGGTGGTATCTCAGTGTGGTCTTGATTTGCATCTCCTTGATGATTAGTGAGGTCAAACATTTCTTCACGTGTCTGTTGGCTGCTAGGATGTCTTCCTTTGAGAAGTGTCTGTTCATATCTTTTGCCCACTTTATAATGGGGTTGTTTGTTATTTTCTTTTCAGCATATTTGAGTTCCTTGTAGATCCAAGATGTTAAGCCTTTGTCGGACTGGAGTTGGCAAATACTTTTTCCCAGTCTGTGGGCTTTCTCCCTGCTCTCTTGATGGTTTCTTTGGCTTTGCAGATGCTTGTCAGTTTAATGAGGTCCCACTTGTCTGTCTTCTCTCTTATGGCCTGTGGGTTTTGGGTTTTGTTCAGGAATTGGATGCCAGTTCCAATTTCCACGAGGGTATGTCCTTCATTTTCTAAGGTTCTTATGGTTTGAGGTTTTACATTTAGGTCTCTGATCCCTTTAGTGTTAGTTTTTGTGTATGGGGATAGATAGGGGTCCCGTTTCAATCTTCTACATGTGGTCAGCCAGTTTTCCCAGCACCATTTACTGAATAGGTTCTCTTCTCCCCAGTGGTAGGTGGTGGAGGCTTTGTCGAAGATGTGTTGGTTGAGAAATTGAGGTTTCACTTCTGGAATCTCAATTCTATTCCATTGGTCTATATGCCTGTTCCTGTACCAATACCAAGTTGTTTTGATTATCATAGCTTTATAGTAAAGTTTGAAGTCTGGTAATGTGAATTCTGGGGCTTTTTTTGGGTCCTCCCCTCATGAAAGACCTGGCTGAGATTCCATTTAACATGCTAAGGCAATTTGCAGACAAATTCTGTAGAATGATTTTACAGACCTGGGGACAAAAAAAAAAAAAAAAAAAAAATGACCAGAATTTTGGTTTGGGAAATATCTGTAAAGATTTATACAAAATTACAACTCTCTATTTTTACTACTAATCTAAATCATTCTATCAACTAAAGCATTAGCATTGGTTTGCCAATGTTTTGCAAGAAATGGATTTTAGTGTTGAGTATACATAAAGCTGTTGTTACTTTGGACCTAGATGTCCTGTGTTTATTGCTCTGTCCAATCCATTTTTTAATATTTATACTTAGAATCCACTGAGAAGTGATTCTCATCAGTAGTACCTATGCAGCATCTCCTAAAGTAACACTGAAATGCTTATATTGAGCTTTTGTAATTGCCTCTGGTTTTATTCTAATCAATTACAGAGAGAGCAAAGTAGCGAGAAGGGGCTTGGAAAATTCTTTATGCTAAAGAGAAAGCACCAAGCACTGAGAAAAATCTCTAATAGGTAGATGAGTGGAGAGTTCAGATGATGGGCTATGTCACAAGTATGCTCCTGAAATGTTTCAGTTTTTCCAAAGATGTGTGCATACATCAGAATTTTCCTGTTCAACTACAAAAATAAGAACACCCTGTGACACTGGACCAGATTTCTCTGATAGCAACATTTTGTGAAGGCCTATTTGGAAATCTTTTGTGTAATTAAATTTATTTGAAAATGCTATTGTCTTACTAAAATAAAAAAAAAAGGGAGCTTATAAAATGAACATGCTGAAGAGATATAGCCAGTCTGTAATGAAAACCAGACGTAAGGAATGTTAAAAGAGAGAAGCACTTCTCTTGCTGTTGTAGTCAGTGTCAGAAGTCATGCTATATAATCCTGTTTCAGATTGAAAGGAGATGAAATATTTGTAATACGACAATTTACCTTCCCATTCCTTCCCACCACCTCCACAGTCATAAAGAGTATGCCTTCATGGATTAGAGCTTTTCTGACAAATATGAGCACTCTTGGTGTCAGCAGAATGGCAAATGCTCAAGCTTACCAAGCACTGGGTTAGTAATCATGCCATTTTTAAAAAAGCCAATGTCATTTAATTATTTTTAAAATTGGTCTAAGATGCCTGTGCCTTCTGAGAGGTACATTTAGAGAAGTCTAGTTTTGAATACCAGGCTCTCCTGATTTCTGATGGGGGAGCTTTCAAATTGTAGAACAAAATTATTATAAACAGCTCTTGGGAAACAAGATATTGAGGGTGACAACAACACAATGGCAGCATAAGAAACGGTAGACCCTCATTCTCCCATGAGAACTTGAAACAACAAGAGACTGGCAAAAATAACTTTATAAGAGCTCTGGAAAGCAGATCAAAATAGAGATAATCCATGGGAGCAAAATACTTAGCTCCTGACTTATAATGGATAGATATGTGACTTATAATGGATAGAAAGGGGATAGTTGAACGGCTATTTGTCTAGTTTTTCAGAGAGAGAAAGAGTTTGGACTCCAGGGCTTTGTTCACAATTTAAGCATTAAGCACACATACAATAATTGCTTTGGGGTCACTGGGAAGAGTCTCAATGTGACTCAATGTGACTCAGAATGGAGTGTCATAAATCTTTTCATGATTCATATCATGAGAGTATAGTTTAGCTTGTAAAGTGATTGCACTGTAGTTTAAGTATTGTACTATAGTTAAGGATTAAATGCTTTTACATCTATTTTTTTTAAAAAGAAAGGAAAATCTTTGCTCACAGTAAGATTCACTTATAAAAATCAAGGGAGGAACCCCCCCCAACAGAATTATCTCTCTCCTTTTTTTTATTTTTGGAGGGCAGGCACCTTGTTATACAGGCTTCTACCATTAGGCAAGTGTCCTAGGAACCCATCGGCATTGGTGTGCCAGGTAGCATTGTTGTGAGAGGCTGCATTCAGCTTCAGTGAATTATTTTTTTGGAGATTCTTTTAAGGCATTTGCCCATCTCATGATAGATGATTTACATGAACAATGTGCGGCAGTGAAATTGTGTTTTCTGAGAGTCTAGCAGTTTTTGACCCAAAACAGCATGACCTTTGTGCCCCACCCTCCCTATTCACTCAGTTTCACCCTGAGTGAATTGTTTTGTTTCCCTGGATGAAAAAAATTCTCAAAGGGAAACATACTTTACTGATGTGGAAAAGGTGAAATAAAAAATGGCAGAAGCACTAAAAGGTATCAAAATGATGAGTTCAAAAACTGTTTTGAGCTGTGAAAAAAGCATCTCTATAGAATTCTTTGAAGGGAGACTGAAGTATAAACATATAAGAATAAATACACAAGTTTTTATAAATAAATTCTGGGTTTTGGGAGGTCTTCCTCATAATACTGGAAAATTGTCTTTCTTCTTCCTCTTTTCTGCCACCCCTTCCAACATACACGCACACAATGACATAGTAAACAATGATATTTTAAGCAGGAATTATAATCATGTGTTTATGTTAATGAAAAGAAAATGATATAATAAGTGATAAAAGTGGTATACAAAGGTTTATAAAGTCTCAATTTTGAGTTAAAAGTCCAAGAAGATAATGAAACTTCTGATTGGCAGTATTATAATAATTATTATTTTGTATTTTCTACTTTTGCACATTTTCAAAATCACTTACAATAAAAATGCATTGAAGTTTAAATAGAAAAACATGCAATAAATTGATACTAAAGTATTTTATTTAAATATTGAAACTAGAAATATAGGATGTTACTGTGTTTGTGTTAGAGGAAAAATACCTTTGAAAAGCAGAACTCTAGGTAATAATGATACTCCATGCTTCTTGTATTTATAGTCATTTTGACTTTCTTATTTTATTATAACTTTTGTATATAGAAGAGAAGACAAACTTGGAGCTTCCCCAGTGAAACAGCAATCTTCAGTACATTTTTACTCAAAGATGTCAAGTTCTGATACAACAACACCGCCATCGTCATGGTTATTATCTAATGGAATTCCTCTTGGTTACCCTCTGTCTAGTCCTCAGACTAGTGAAGTAGTTGCATCAACAACTGGACCAGTGACTTCTAAAGCTACTATAAGCTGCTGTTCCCAAGCAGAAAACAACTCTGGTAAGCAAAATATGGACCAAATATTGTAAGACTACTTTTTTTTTTTTTACATCATTGTAGATTTGCATTCAGTTGTAAGAAATAATCCTGTGGAATCCCAAACTTTACTCAGTTTCCCCCCAATGTTAACATCTTGTGATGTTGTAATAGAGTTCTAAATAGGTCAATTAAATTGTATTGTGTAGGGTGTTCTACACCTGTGTCCATTTGCTGTTTAGAAGGTCTATCAATTACTGAGAAGGGAGTATTGATGGTCCCAACTATAATTATGAATTTGTGTAAGACTACTTTTAAAGCATATCTTTCAATAGATTCTTGATGTTACTATCAGTCAGAATGGAGTTTTATTGGTCCCCAGTAATGCTAACTTCTTAATATCCTATGCAAAGTAACTTAACTATGATCCTAAAACTGGAGTCTTAAATTCAGGTCACATAAATGCATGTGTCCAAATATATTATCCGCATGATTAAGACATCTTGAGTTATCAGGATGATTTGTAGGTTTTCTGCTAACATGCTCTAGAATTGCTAGAGACTTAAAACTTTCAATTTATAACATTAACTGCCCTTCCTCTGAATGCTACCAGGATTAAGCAACATTGTGTATATTTTGTGCCTTTAGAAAACTTATGGCTTCAGTAAGGAATAGATAAGAGAAAGAAGAAACATAAAGTAGACAATAAAATGATGGAAAGAAAAGGGGAAAACAATAAAGAGAACTTGAAGGAGAGGAAAATGAAAACAGTAGCATGGTAGGAAGAAATAAAGTTTGACTACCAAAAACAACGTACTTAGCAATACCCACACTATAGGGTGTTTGTTTCTCATCATGTTTAGGGAACTTTGAAAGTATGTTTTCATGGTTTACTAAAAACACTACTATCTTTGGAAACACAAGACCTACTGTTTTTCTACTCTTCCCTGATGTGAGGCATCAGGGAAAGTATTTAGTATCTCTGCATCTCATTTTCCACAATTGCAAAATGGGGATTAATATATCAACTTCACAGAGATCTCCTAAAGATTGAATAAGATATTTATGAAAATCACCTAGCACATAAATAAGTACTTAAAAAAATTAGTTGTGAATCTGAACATACCTGCAATCACTTTACTTTAGAATAGGCTAGATTTGGAGTCTGTATTTCAAATGCCAATCAACAAGCAAGTTTGAAAACTGGTAGCACCAACACTATCTGATGCCTCAGTTTTCCTTTACCATTCTGTGTACATTTACAGCCTAGTGGCTACCTCTCATCTACATTTCATTTTGTTTCTGGTATTGTCCTAGGGCTTTAACACAGTATTATACAGGGTTTTGTTCTACTGGCATTATAGTCATATTTCCTGTGTTTCATTGTTTGTATGACTAAGATAAAATTTCCAATAAAGCTCCCCAAGTTTCCACTGACCTTTAGCAATGACCACAGTCCATATACTGAAAATGCAAATACAAATTTTAGCTCTAAGAAAGAAATATTTTCCATAATTTGGCATTACGTTATCATGGCAAATGTTCTATATTTGGTTTGTTAAACTGTAAAAGCTCACTGGGAAAACAAAACAAAATATAGTGGTTTTTCTTTGCAAGATGGGAACTAAATTGGGATGTAGTCTTCTTACTTACTTACTGTAGATTCTGCTTCTGTAGATAGATGTCTAGGTCCACTAAGACTTGTTCTATTTGGGTCATTGCTATCTGTTGATCAAGAAAAATAACAATGGGGTTAATAACTAATGTATCTTCTTTCCTTTTGGAATACAGAGGCTTTCATCTCTCAGGATGAGCTGTAAAGAAGGATGCCATATATTATCCTTTTCTAAAGGAATTTAAGGATTAAGTAAATACGCTATTGGGAATGAACAGAATTTTTTTTCTCGACAAAATACTTTGAGGAATTTTCCTTAAGAACTATGATTTTATTCTTTTATATCTTTCACCTTGTTTTTGGTTTTGTTAAAGATATAAGAATCTAAAGCAAACTCCAGATTGTCCTAATTCTTTGAGATTTTTGAATCCAAGGTCACATTAACCAAAACTCTTGTACTGTACTAATAGCTATCATTTATTGAGTACCAGATAAATACTAAACATCATGGTGGACACTTAACTATATGATCTCCAAGTCTCTTATCTCCTTACACAAGGTCATATTATCTTTATTTTATGTTCAGGAAAACTGAAACTTGGAAAGTTTAAAGTAAATGGCAAAGCTGGAATACAATTGCAGGTCTGTCTAAATGCAAGACATGTTGCACTTTCCACTTTATCTTGATGCCTCTTTGTTGTGTAACTCTTTCTTTGTAAATATGTTATTACATTAATCCAGAATGACTCTTTCTGTGCAAAATCATGAAACTTATTTTGTATCTGAATCTTAGTATGAGAATTTCAAAAGAACAAACTTCTCAGAGAATACTAGAATCTGTTTAAGCATTACATTATCTTTCTAATAAAGTATTTTAACTAAAGGAAGTTTAGGTTTACCTGGCAAAAGTACTAACTATTGGTAGGAAAGGACTAATTTGAATTGATAGGAAAGAACTCATGTAAGGTTTTAATTTATGGGTAGTAATATGGGAAGTATAGCCAATATGAAGCAGAATAAGGCTATCTTTAGATATAACATATCCAAATTTGACAGACTCAAATGTTTTACCTACTCAAAAACTTATGATTCTTCTAGAACAACTACAGTCACTTAAATGGTTATTATGCTGATAATAGTTTACGATAACTGAAATAATCTCTCAGAATTGAGAATGTCTCTAAAAATATCCACTTACTGGCTACTGTATAGGCTTTTGTTTAAAGCATCTAACTATTCTCATTGAGTTTGACAGAGACAGTAAAATGTATAAAGAATATAGTTTTGTAGTAGTAGAGAATAAAGATAATGGCTTTGGTTATTTTAACATTCTTTTATTTACTTCTCTTTTGGCTGCTTCCTTCTTTGGTGTCTTTGAAACCAAAACTAACTGTTTCTTAGTTCTAAAGAAACAGGCTGAGCCACCTGTGATTGGGGAAGGAGAGGATTATTTCCATTCTTTGTTTGGTGATTCAAAGAAACTTACTGCACACTCAAGGCATGCCGAAAAAACTTATAAACACTTTTCTATGATTCTTGAAGAAGCTGGCCAGTATACATCCAGGTACACATTCTATTTGAACTAATATCTTCTGTTGGGATAAGACAAATAAGTCAATCAAAAATAAAATTCAAATCTGTTGTTATATGCATTATTTTGGCTAAAATCCTAAGCAGTTCATTAAAATATAACTGTTTCATCTCCTGAACAATTTAAAGCAATTGATATAACTTTCTAAAGAATCAAACAAGGAATGTGAATTCTTCAAAGATGCCAGAGAAAACAGTGCTACATAATCTCTATAAATAGGGGCAACTCAATTATTTAAGAACTTTTTAAATTGTTGGTGAATTATTTAGATACAGCTAATGTAATTTTTTCTTCTAGAAGCTCCTGAGTTCATAGAAGGAGAGAGATGAATTTTTATCTCACTGATTTATTTGTATGGCTGTTAGTATCTAGGCAAAAAAATTGATTAGGAAGACATTTGATTATTTTACTAAAATAAAAGAGCTATTATTTATTCATTTACATAACTCTGGTTTGTTTACTATATAAACAACATGTTGGATTGTGAAGTGTTAGTAATAAGTACATAGAGGGTGTTAGGACCCTAGCTAGAGTTGAGGGTCATATTTGGAAGAAACTTTTTCCTATTTATGCCACTTTTCCTAAAATTAATCACCCATGTTCTAATACCATTTAACAGTGGAGAATACCTGAGCATTTGCTCAACTGTCTAAAAACACCTTGCTAAATTATTCATTTACTACCTACCATAGTAAAGTGATGAGCTATTTTGGAGCCAAAAAACATTTTTTTAAGCTTCTGTTGAAATGCAGTTATAGAAAAAATGGTGGCATAGAAGCAAACTGGCTTTACTCTCCCACCCTTACCCCATTTCAGAAGATAAATACAAATATACCCATGTAAAGATTATCATCCAAAATGTCCCAGAACTCAAATATGAGGATGAGGCAGTTCCCAGGGCCACACAAATGTTAAAATATATATATATATTTTTATATATATGTTATATATAAATGTTAAAAAATATATATATACATATATATACATACATCAAGAGGGAAGCAAATAACATAGAAAGGGCTCTAATACATCTGGCAACAGACTTTTCTGTGGAAACCATATTGACCAGGAGGCAGTGGAACAACATTTTTAAAATTTTGTTTTAATTTTTTTTTTTTTGAGTTGGAGTCTCACTCTGTCACCCAGACTGGAGTGCAGTGGCCACTCCCAGCCACCACAGCCTCAACCTGCTGGGCTCCGGTGATCCTTCTGCCTCAGCCTTCTGAGTAGCTGGAATTACAGGCATGCACTACCACGCCTGGCTGATTTTTTTATTTATTGTAGAGATGAGGTCCCGCTGCCCAGGCGGGTCTCGAACCCATGGGCTCAGGCAATCCACTCACCTCAGCCTCCCAAAGGCGCGGGATTACAGGCTGAGCCACTGAGCCCGGCAATTTTGTTTTAATTTAAAGAGGTGGGTACAATTCAGGATTAGGTATACAAGTGGACATTATACAGGTAATATTTGGGCCTCCTTTTGGTCCCCACTTTACCTGGTTTGAAATCAGTTACCCTTATTGATGTTATGTGCCCTCACCCCACCCTGGCAGTATCCCACTACTGCCAATTCCTTTTGTATAGTATTATGGTAAATGTTCAGGGTCCGTATATGAGTGAGAAAATGTGGTACTCAGGAACAACATTTTTAAAGAGCTGAAAAAAACCCCTGTCATATAAGCATACTGTATCCAGCAAAGGTACTCTTCAAATATGGAAAGGTAAAGCCTTTCCCAGAGAAATAAAAGCCTAGAGAATTTACCACCACCAAATCTGTCTTATAAGAAATGCTAAAGAGAGTTCTTCAACCCAAAAGATAAAAACACTAATGTTCAAAATGAAAACCTTTGAAAGTATGAAACTTCTGGTAAAATTAAGTGCATGGAAAACCTAGAATACTCTAATACTGTAATTGCAGTATTTAATCCACTCATTTTACTTGATACTCTACCTCATACTCTAGTATAAATTGCAAATATTTCTATCAAAACCAACGATAGCAACCTGTAAGAGATAGACAATATAAAAATATATAAATTGAGGCAAATAAAAATCAATATGTGGGAGGATGAAGTCCAGAGTTTTTTAAAATTAGTTTTTCTTTATTTCTGTTCTTTTCTTTGTGATCTTATATAAATTTTCATCTCTTTAAGAGAATTTCTTATATCTGTAAGATGTCTTTTGGAAGCCTCATGGTAACCACAATGCAAAGACCTATAATAGATTCACTAAAAATAAAAAGCAATGAGTTAAAACATATTATCAGAGAAAATTACTTAATCACAAAGGAAGATAGTAACAAAGGAAGAGCGGAATTACAAAACAACCAAAAAATAAACAACAAAATGGCAGAAGCAAGTTCTTACTTATTAATAATTACACTGAATGTAAATGACCTCAATTCTAAAATTAAAAGTCGTAGAGTGAATAGATAGTGTGAGACTCCAACTCAAAAAAAAAAAAAAAAAAAGAAACAAAATTCACTTATAGACTGTTTACCAGAAACCTACTTTACCTATACAAACACACATAGACTGAAAGGGAAGGTGTGGAAAAACACATTCCATGCAAGTGGAAACCAAATAAAGAGCAAGAGTCGCTATACTTAAATCAGATAAAATAGACTATAAATCAAAGACTATAAAAAGAGACAACAAAAGTTATTATAAAATGATAAAAAGGGCTAGTTCATCAAAAGGACACAACAATTATAGATATCTATTCACCCAAGTATATAAAACAAATGTTAATAGATCTAAAGGGAGAGATACACTGCCATACAATAATAGCAGGGAATTTTTTTTTTTTTGAGTTAGAGTCTCACTCTGTCACACAGACTGGAGTGCAGTGGCTGCTCCCAGCCACCGCAGCCTCGACCTGCTGGGCTCCAGTGATCCTTCCACCTCAGCCTTCCAAGTAGCCGGATTTACAGGCACGTGCTACCATGCCCGGCTAATTTTTTTTATTTATTGTAGAGATGAGGTCTCGTCAAGTTGCCCAGGTGGGTCTTGAACCCGCAGGCTCAGGCAATCCGTTCACCTCAGCCTCCCAAGGTGCGGGATTACAGGCTGAGCCACTGAGCCCGGGGATTTTTAACACCTCATTCTCAGTAATGGACAGGTCATTCAGACAGAAAATCAATAAAGAAACATCAAAGTTAAACTACACACTAGGCAAAATAGGCCTAAATGATTTTACAAACCATTGCACCCAACTGCTGAATAATACACATTCTTTTCAAAAGCACAAGGATCATTCTCCAGAATAGACCATATCTTAATCCAGAAAATAAGTCTCAACAAATTAAAAAAGTAGAAATCATGTCAAGTATCTTTTCTGATCATAGTGGAATAAAGCTAGAAATCAATAACAAAAGGAATTTGGGAAAATACACAAACACATAGAAATTAAATAATATACTTCTCAACAACCAATAGGTCAGTAAAGAAATTAAGAAGGGAATTTAAAATTTTCCTGGAACAAATGAAAATGGAAATACAACATAACAAAATCTATGGGATATAGCAAAATTTGTACTAAGAGGAAAGTTTATAGCAATAAACACCCATGTCAAAAAAGTAGAAATACTTCAAATAAACAACCTAATCATACAACCTCAAAGAACTAGAAAAGCAAGAACAAACAAATATAAAATTAGTAGAAGAAAAGAAATAATAAATATTAGAGAAGAAATAAATAAATGAAATGGAGACTAAAACACAATACAGAAGATCAACAAAACAAAAAGTTAGTTTTGGAAAAATAAACAAAATTAATAAACCTTAAATCAGACTAAAAAAAAAAAAGACCCAATTAAATAAAATCAGAAATGAAAAAGGAGACATAACAACTAAGACTTTAGAAATACAAAGAATCATTAGAGGATATTATGGAAACTATTTGTCAACAGATTGAAAATCATAGGAGAAGTGGGTAAATTACTGGACACATAAAACCTATCAAGATTGAACCATGAAGAAATAGAAAAACTGAACAAACCAATAATGAGTAAGGAGATTGAAGCTGTGATAAAATGTCTCCCATCAAAGAAAAACCCAGGACCTGATAGCTTCACTGCTGAATTCTACCAAACATTTAAAGAACTAATATCAATTCTACTCAGATTCTCAAAAAAGATGAAAAGGAGGGAATACTCTAACTTATTCTACAAGGCCAGCACTATCCTGATACCCAAACCAGACAAGGACACAACAAAAAAAAATAAAACTATAGGCCATTATTTCTGATGAACATAGATGCAAAAAACCTCCACAGAATATGAGCAAACTGAATCCAACAGCACATCAAAAAGATAATATACCATGATCAAATGAGATTTATTTTTTTATTTTAAAGACAGGGGTACAATTCAGGATTAGGTTTACAAGTGGTCATCGTACAAATAAAGTTTGGGCCTCCCTTTGGTCCCCATTTTGTCTGGTTTGAGATCAGATATACTTATTAATGCTGTGTCCCCCCTTTGCCCCGCTATCCTGCAGTATCCCACTACTGCCAATCCCTTTCTTATAGTATTATGGTAAATGTTCAGGGTTCACTTATAAGTGAGAACACATGGTACTCTTTGTTTCTGTGATAGATCACTGAGTATGATAGACTCTAAATCCATCCAAGTTCCTGTGAAGTCTATATGTTTGTCCTTCTTTATGGCTGTGTAATATTCCATCATGTATATATACCACATTTATTTTATATCCAGTCCAGTTTCGATGGGCATCGTGGTTGGTTCCATGTTTTTGCTATTGTGAATAGTGCTGCAATAAACGTGAGTGTGCAGTATCTTTTTTGTAGAATGATTTGAGTTCCTCTGGGTATATTCCCAGTAGGGGAATTGCTGGATCATGTGGAAGGTCAATGTCTAGTTCTTTTAGAAATTGCCACACTGTTTTCCAAAGAGGTTGTACTAGTTTGCATTCCCATCAGCAGTGTAGAAATGTTCCCTTTCCTCCATATCCTCG